CTGAGCCACACCCCAGCCCTCTTCTCCTGTATGATGGCCCACTCTGTGGGAGCTCACTGGGGTCCCACAAGCACTACTCAATTCCTCTTAAGAACCCTGTGCCCAGTGTCTAATCAGCTCCCAGCAGACGCCAGCTCTTCAAGACTCCGCCACAGTGAGAGCCAAACTCCTAGCGCATGAACCCTGGGACACACTCAAGTCATATCTAAGCCCTAGCAGTGGGCAAAGCACCTCCCTCCTCCTGGAACTTTGTAAGCTGGTACTTTGAGCTTTCTCGTGCAGTGCCATCTTGCAAGGCCCTCCGTGACGGGCCTGGCTTCCTGTCTGGCTAAATCTCCTATCCCCTCCCCACCTCCAGGTCCCAGCTCTCCAATCCTTCCCGCTTGACCTTGAACACACGAAGCTTGCTCCTGCCTCAGGATTTTGTGCAGCTGCTCCCTCCCGGGGAATGCTCTTCCTGCAGATGTCCGACTTATTCTCTGGTCCTGCCTTCCTTTTCTTAATGAATAGTATTTATGGCTTGTTGTTTTCAGATACATCACATGCCATCCCCCTACCACCAATCATTTTACGGTCTCTAACAGGTTCTGAGGGCCAAGATTTGGGGAAAGACCCCACTGTGTGGTCCCGTTGGGACTTCTCCAGTAGCTGGAGCAGCGGGACCTCGTCTGGCACCTCTGTGTTTGTGTCAGGGCTTCTCCAGGGGGYCAGGGGGCCCTCTCACAGCATGGGGCCTCTGGGTCGCCCCACTTCTTATCGGACAGCACCAGGTGTTCCCGAGAATCAGGAGGAAGCTGTATGATGACATCTTTTGTGACAGCCTAAAAGTCACGAGGTCTCTCTCTACTCCATTGGCCAGCCTGTCCTGAGGATGGGCCCACGTTCAAGGCCAGGGACACAGACCCCACGTCTCTGTGAGAAAAGGACCTGAGAATCGTCAGACATGTCTGCTAGCACCTCCCACCAGCTCCGTGGGCAGGGGTTTGCTGTGTCCATCATTAAATCTCTGGATCCCCAACAGAGTTGCCTCGTAGTGGGTGCCCGATAAATATCCAAAGAGCCAGGCAGTTAAGAATGTGCCCAGAGTCCACCCTTGAAGAGYGCCTCTGTCTCCACAGTTGGCCACAGCTGAACAATCCGCCGGACCCGTTGCTAAGCACGCAGAAGAAATGGTACCGATTATGCACGAGAAAACAAACTTAATTTAGAAKACCAAACGTGCACCTGCCTAKACGTGTTCAGCCGGGACTTATTCTTGGAGGGCCAGGTTTCCTCCATCTCTGTCTCTTTTAGAGCCGAGCACGGGGCTGGCGTGAAGTCGGTGAGCAGTGGATGTGCCCTCGTCCTGAGGGAATCTCTCATCTTCTGTATTAAAATGTTAACACAAATCCCACTTCTGGGTGATGGGTGTCAGGGAAACAGGTGTGCCGGAGGGCAGCCTGTCAACTACCATTTATTACGAATTCTCTGTGTGCCAGGAAATGCACTGTTTGCATAATGTGGTTTATTCCCCGTGGCGACTCATGTATTTGGGAACCACCTTTACGTCTTTTGCCCCACATTCTGTAGATATTGAAAGTGGGGCTCAGAGAGGCCTATCATAGCCCGCTTCCTGTTAAGGATGCTGTGGTTTGGAGCGGGGTGGGATCCAGGCTGCCCTGGGGCCTCAGGCGTCTGCCCAAGGCTTGGCACAGCTGGGGGCTTGTCCTCATCTTTTAGTATATACTTGTCCTCAACTTTTAGTAGATACTGCTCAGGAAGGAGTATTTGGGCCACTTGAGTTGGTGTTTAGCAAAGGCTGGGTAGCGTCGGGACCACTGGACCCACCATCTGCCATTTTAAGATGCTGTTGAGATGGGCATCTTCTTTATAAGGGTTTCCGTTAACAACYGCGTACAGTATATGATTTTGAAAGGGTGACAGATGCTGTCAGTGCACGTGAACTTAGCATACGGTCATCCGATATCAGATCCTGGAGGTGTGGCTGGGGTTTATGTGAGGGCCTGGCACCCTGATGGACAGACGTTCACAGTCCACCCGCGCTCCAGGGATTAGAGGCAGTGGGTGCCTGAGAGTCGCCGTGAGCAGCATCACCTCCGTGGAGACAGTGGGTGGCAGAGGAAGCCAATGCATGTGGATTCCAAACCAGGGCTGCCCCTTTCCAGCTGTATAGCCTGGAACCAGGGACTTAGTTGACTTGGACCTCTGGTTCCTCCTCTATGGGGGGCCGATCACAATACCTACCTTCAGGCCGATGAAGTGAGATAATAGGCAGCACCTCCCAAGGGCCTGTTAGGCTTGTGTGCCTGGTGCTGTTCTAGGCAGCGGGGCTCTGGTGGCGAATGCTGCAAGACCCTGATGCCATGGAGCCTGCACTCGAGGGGCCTGGATGTGAAGCTGGGAAATACATTTAGAAAACGATTKCGAGCGGTGATAAGTCCCCTGAGCATAAAGGAACCTTGGCAAGAGGAATTACTTGTCCCAGGGACAGTAGGATGGTGGTTTTCAGGGTGGGCTCTGGGGCCTGACCTGGGGAGGTGATATTGGAGTGGCTCTCTGGGTCACGTAAGGGAGGGGCTGGTGCAGAGGCCTGAGGGAGACGCCTGCGGATCAGTCTTGCCCTGACACCCACGTGGCTGGAAGGGAGGGAGGGAGGGAGGGCGGAGTGGAAGGAAAGACTGACCAGGAGGGGTCCAGGGCTCGGGGCGGCATTGGGAAGTCAGTTCTCCAGGATGGTGCATRTGAAGTGCCCGGCTTAGCAGAGGCTCCCAAGGCAGTTGAATAAATGACTCTCTACCWCCACGTGCCACCGCTGTGCTGGGCAAGGGGCACGGAGGAGGGGGGCATCCTCCTTCTTCTTCCCACCACCTGGATCCTCGCCCTCCCTCGACTCCCATTTATTCTMGGTCTTATCCCTAAGAATGGAAGATACTGGACACTTTAGCTCTGACATCACGGTCTAAAACCCATCTGAAGAGCATCCTGGATCATAAAAAGCACTTGTTTCCCTAAGGAGAGGCATGAAAAAAAGTGGCAGAAGGGAGAATTTCCTTTCTTATCCAGCTGTCTCATCCGTCCACATTGATGAAGGCTGCCATTGGGATGAGGTCACTGAGGAGAGAGAGGGATCCCAGGCAGAGAGAGAGAGCACAGCCAGCTACAGGACCAAGCCAGGCTGCAGCATCAGGACCACTTGACCAACATCCATGCACGTGGCCTCTCCCAGCTACACTGGGTGCAGTGGTCTGAGGACAGTTTCTGATGGGGACAGGGAYTTGCTACCTGATGGGCTTCCTTTATGTCCCAAGGAAATTGATCAATGGCTCCCTGCAGAGCTTTTATCTAATCCTCACTGTGCTGTCACAACCGACTGACAGGCCATTGTCCACACTGTGAATAAAAAGGAGACTGGATCTCACAGTGGAGAGGGACTTACCCAAGGTCACACAGCTCAGAAGTGGGTAGCGAATGATCACAATTAGTTGCCCAAAGACTTGGCTTGGCCAAACGTCAGTCAGGCTCCTCCTACAGGTTCCTAAACTCCAGCTCATCCCCAAGGTTAAGCAAACACGGAGGTCCCCACAGCTTATGCCAGGAAGCTGACCACATGAGACATGCTGCTGACCTGCCCCATCATGCTGTCCGCTCACCCTCACTGCCCCCTGGACTTCCCCAATCTCCCTCCCAGCCCAGGCTACCCTCCCTRCACCAGAAAACTTTTTCTGTTTGATTCTGAGATGCTTCAAGATGCTCAGGTGAGACGTGTCTTACTAGAGAGTCTTTTTGAATACATTGTTCACTATCTTAAGTCCAGCTTGATTTTTCATTTGACCTGGGGGACTGGGATTTGAATCCAGAATTTTCTGAATTCCGTAATTTATTCAGGGGTTAGAGGACTTGAAAAAATTTCCTTCTGGAAGAAATACACACGTGAATCTATTTTCTTCTGTAAATCAAACTAGAAACAATATTGCTGAAAATATAGGTTAAAACCTGACTATATTATGTACACATTGGTCTTTAAGCCTAAAAATAATACCTAAAGAAACTTAAATCTTTTAAATCTTAAAAAACATTTTTTCCCCTGTAAGAGCATGTCTCTATTTGTTCATTTGCCTTTTTTGTGTCTCTTGTCTGCATAGACCAGCAGATGTATAAAATTTTAAAGAAAAACAAGCTTAAGAAGACTAATATATATACTTTTTTTTTGAAATTCGGTGGATATGAAAAAATTGAAAATTGTAAATGTTGAATAAAGATAGTGGTCTCTTGAGCTCATTAAGTGCAACTTCTGGGTTGCCAGAATTGCTTTTGTGGTCAAGGGCACAGGAATCAGAACCAMTGAATTGGGGTTTCAGTGCAAGTTTTGCGGTTTGCTGGCTGGGTGGCCTTGGTGCATGTCCTCGGTCTCCCTGCCTATAAAATGAGGATTACAATAGCACATTTCCTGTTGCAATGAGGCTAATGTATGAAGATGTGTGGGGCCTGACGTGGAATGCTTACTCATTAGATTTTAATATATCACGGCAGGGTCCACCMTGGAGGAGAAGACTGTTTACATATTTAGTTATTTTGGGGGTACCAGGGATTGAACTTGGGGGCACTTGGCCACTGAGCCACATCCCCAGCCCTATTTTGTATTTTATTTAGAGACAACGTCTTGTTGAGTTGCTTAGCGCCTCGCTGTTGCTGAGGCTGGCTTTGAACTYGTGATCCTCCTGCCTCAGCTTCCCRAGCTGCYGGGATTATAGGCGTGCACCACTGTGCTTGCAAGGCTGTTTATTTTTAGAGATTTTGGAGACCAGGGAAGACACTCTGGGGAGCCATACTGATGCCTAGATCAAATCCACCCAAGCCCCTCTGGCCAAGGGAACTCTCCCCGCTCCAGCTCTTAGCAAGTGCTTCCCAAGCTTGTGGCTTTCTGGATCCTCCTGCGGGGTTCTGCTGCTCTGGARGGCTTGGGTCCTTTAGACTGAGGTTACCCGTCCCTAGCCACTTACCCGGTGTGCAGGCCTGGAGACCAGCRGCTGTGCTCTTGCGTTGGTGTGAGCTGTGTGCAGAACCCATGGAGCCGTGCTGAGGTGAAGGCTCTGAGCAGAAGGGGCTCCAGAGACTCCCTGCCAGCGCTGGTTGAGAAGACCAGAGGCTGCACCATTGATCCCTCTGGTTCTGAGGCTTCAGCCTCTTGGACTGTGCAGTTACTGGTTCCCYCAGTTCTCCAGCCTGGAGACGGCCACTGTGGACTGTCCAGCTTCTGGTCTCACAAGCCAACCTAATGAATCCCTTCTTATGGTTACGCTTCCTGTCGCTTCTGTTCCTCTAGAGACCCCTGACTAACACACAAGGGCCACAGGAAGGAAGCGTTCATTTCCTGGTACGTGGAAGGAACGTGACTGGCAAGTCGCTTTTCCCCACTTTCTCTGCTGCTTGTTTGGGATGTGCTCGTGTCCTGGAAGCACGTCCGTCATTTGGTGGCTGTCCACATGCCAGCAGTAAGCCATCACCCTGGAGACGGTGAAGAGGCAGAAGGCAAGGAGCCCAGTCCTTGAGACCTTCCTGAGTCTCCGATAGCCCTGTCCACCTCGGGGGCTTCTTATTTTGGAAGCCAAAGCAACTGCCATCTTTGGTGACATTGTTATGGGGCTCTGTTATTCTACGGCTAACTTCATACCTGTAAGAGGTACATGTTTATCTTTCCCTGATGACGATAATGATGTGATATGACAAAAGCTACTAYTTATTGAAGTATACTCTGCAGACAGTGTGCAAAACCTTTCATATGGCTCATATGRTTTAACAAGTGTATTAACCCTTAATGTAGCACTGCTAGCGTTCCCATTTAAAAATATATTTTTAGCTGTAGAGGGACAGGATACCATTTTTATTTATTTATGTGGTGCTGAAAATCGAACCAGTGCCTCACACATGCTAGGCAAGTGCTCTACCATGAGCCACAMCCCCAGCCTTATTATTCCCATTTAATAGAGGGGAAAACTGAGTCTTAGAGAAGTGAAGCACAGATGGTGGTCCATAGTGAGAAGGACTCAAGCACAGGCCTGTTGGCTCCTAGGCCTGTGCTTGTTCCATGGTGCCATGGACCCTCTTCCTAGTAATAATAATTAATAATAATAATAATAATAATAATAATGATCCTATTAACTGAGCATGTATTATCCACCCAGTCATCTGTCAAGTTCAAGGGTCAGGTCCCTGACCTATGGAAAAAACAGGGTGAAGTCCCCATAGACTGGGGCTCAGTGACCTTCCCAGCCCTCTTGCACAAGCAGCTCTGAGTGGCTGATGGTGCTGGGGTCACCTGAGCTGGGTTTTCCAAGAAGAGTAGGAGTTTAAAGAAAAGGGATGATTCGGAGAGAGGGAGYGTAGATCCAAGGTGCTTTGCCAGGGAGCACACGGCTACCCAGCTCTCCGMATTTTCCAGGTTCCGAGCCACCTGAGTGAATTCTTACCTGTAYGAATTGCACCAATCACTTGTGTAACTCAGTTGTCGTTTCTTTAAAAAGAAAGGGCCTGCCTCCTKCTCCACCGGGGCCAGTACCTGGGCCTATAACAGTGACCCAGAGTCAGTCACAGACACAAAGTCACAACACCAGGGGGCGACCTCGCAAGAAGAAGCAGGGACTCTGGGCCCTGGATGAGTCGGTGGAGCAGGCTGCCCTGTGGGCTGGCCCCCTCATCTCGGTTTCTGGGTCTGAAGGAAGTGACTCGTTTCTTATTTCATCAGCTGGCTCTCTGRGCTTCTTTATTACAGCAGGTTCGTTTGTGCACTCGCGAACCTACTGGCGCTCGACAGGGGCGAAAGGGGGAGGGACAGCCACGCAGTTACTCAGGCCAGCTYTCAGGAGGGGGAAGACAACGGAGGGCAAGTGGGTTTTGGCTAGGGGGGAAGGGGGTGCCAYGAGGCTGGAGGCTGCTCTCCCACCTCGGTTGTTTGGATATGGGGGCCACACACCATACTGAGAGAAGCCCTCTGCCAATGAAGCCGATGACATCCGAGATGGGGTCTGCAGGTTTGGGGAAGAGCTGTTCAGAGGAGTAAGAAGAGATCACAAAGATAAAATGGAATGAGGTGCGGGAGAGATTGTCTTGGAGCTTTGGGAATCTTTGTAGACTTGTTTCTTTTCTCCCTTGCAGCTAATTCTGCAAAGTAGAGAGATTAAGGCCCATGTGGTCTCTGCATGTACTCTGTTGGCCAGATGCACTACGGAGCAAGGTGCGTCAGTAACAATGCATCACCACCTGTCCATGGCCTGCGACCCTGGCTAGGAGAGCCCCCAGGGCAAGGGCGAGGCCTGTCCTGCCTTTTCTCCAGCACCTAGAACAGTGTGTGGCACATAATAGTGGCTCCGTAAATAACTGAGAATCCATGAATAGAGGAGAAACACAAACAAAATATTGGCCAGTTCCAATAATTCCAAGAAAGAGGATTCACGTTCAGGACGGAGAAAACAGAGGGACTTGTTTCCTAGGAGAACGGCCAGGGAGGTCAAGTTTAAGATGAAATTCAAAGGAAGAGAAAGAGTCAGTTACACTCAAGAGCAGGGAGAAAAGCATTTCAGGTGGAGGGAACAGCACGTGTGAAGTTCTCTGCGTGGGAAGGAGATGGGCAGGTTCCAGGAGCTAAAAGAAGATGGATTGCTCTGACTTCACAGAGAACAGGTGAGCAGCCAGGGGAGCTCCGTGGGGGTGGGGCCTGCAGGGAGTGTGGGCTTCCTAAGAAGCTTGGATTCCATCCTAGGATATATCCCTACTCCCAGTCTAGGGAGCCCCAATTCAATTTTGCTTTGAAAAATGAATCCTGACCTCCTTCCAGAGAGCGGCTTGGAGGCAGGCGTCGTGGGCGTGAGAGAGGGTCAGTTAGTGGTGTACGTGAGAAACCATGTCGGAGTGGATCAAGCTGACGGCTATGGAGTTGGAAAGAAGTGGGAAGACGTATTTGGAGCTGGCTGATGGATTGGACGAGGGAGGTGAGGAAGAGAGAATCTGGAGGCTGTATCAGCTACTTATTGCCTTGTAACAACCTGCCCCAGGTTCAGTGGCACAAGACAACAGCTCCCGCCTCTGGGGATTGATCTTGGATGGGCTGGTCCAAGGTGGGGATCCCAGTGGGGCCTCTCATGCCTTTGTGRGTCAGCAGGGGTGGGAGGCATGGGGCCTGGCTTTAATTTGGGCCATCTCAGCAAAACCGAGGCAGTTCTGATCCGATTGACCATTTCCTGTCTCCTGGGAGGAGTGGGCGTGTTCTGATGGAATTGGCACAGGGCACAGGAGGTCATAATCTCAGTCACACGAAAGTGTGTCAAGACTTTTTGTCCCATTTTCTAACATTCCATTGAATGATTCCCCCACCGGGCCACGGAATCCTGCCTTAGCCTGGTAGGACAGCCTAGGCCCCAGTTCAGTGGTAAAAACTTGGACGCCATGAACGATAGAGAACTGGAAGAGCCTTCCATGAACCCTCTGGGCTTCTGGCTGGGTGTCATTATCATCCCCCTAGCCCTGTCCTCTCCTAACTGGTCCTGTCTTTCCACCCACGGAGGAAACTGCTCCTAGTTATTTATTCTTGGAGCTTCCAAGGAGGAACGAGGCAACCAAAGGGAGACCTGTTTGTGTGGTCTGGCCCTTCTGCTCTGGATGGGAGGGCAGCGGAACCCACCGGGTCAGTGGGAAATTTCACCTCTTGCGGCTTTGGCTCTGGCTCTGAATCCAGGGACCGAGAATGGATGTCACATCTGGCTGCAGGACTGTGGGGGCTGCGGCTGAATGTGGAACACACGAGTGCAGGTTTACAAAAGCAATTGAGAGAAGGCCTTGGCTGAAGTGTAGAGAATATTTGCAGCTTAAATACTGGAGCGATTATATCATTTGTGGGGCTTTGCAAGCTAATTTGTTTGCTGCCTTTTCAATTTGCCATTCAGTTTCCATGGTTTCACGGTCGGTCAGAGATGGAATATTTAAACCCTGAAGACAAAGCTTGAAGTCGGACAGCTAAAATGGCCGTGGAATTGTTTTATAGCACAGACTGGTGGAAAGATGACCGTCCAGGGAACCGAGAGAGTTAGAGCCTCGTGTGGCTCTTCCCCCTTCGTGCCGGGTTCCTGCTGTGTGCCTCAGTTTCTCCATCTGTAATGAGATGGGAGTGCTCAGGTGGTTCCTGCCTGCTCTATAGTAACATCGCCAATAATAATAACAAAGATAGTAAGTGGCTAAGCAGGGGAGGAGCAGTAGCTAATACTCATTGAGTGAGTCCTGTGCGCTGGGAGTTGTGGGAGGTGTTTTATTGCAAGATATTTGGTTGTCACAATAACCACGGGGGTTGGAGATGCTATTACTGACCCATTTTAAAGGGTGATAGGGTTTTCCAATAGCATGCAGCTAATCACGTTGATGCTGGATTAGGGACCCACGTCASCCTTATTTCGGTTCCCAGGGCCTCAGCGCCTGCCCTCCCTCTTTCTAGGACCCTTTTCTGTCTCGGTGCCATGTGGTAGAACTTTCCATAGAAATATTGTCATGTGCACTGTCCACTCCGGTGGCCACTGGTTCCATGAGGCTATTGTTGAGGTGGCTGGTGGCTCAGGGACTGCCTTTCCAACTTGATTTAATTTTAAAGTTGAACTTTGAATTTAAAGTTAGGAAGTTGGGTGTGGCTGGCAGCGACCGTACAGGACAGAGCGTGGACGTGGCCATACCAAGTACAAGGTGTCATGTTGCCTAAGAGCAGAGGCTTTGGATCAGATTTTCCAGGAGTAGAGTCCTAGTCTGCCACTGACTGGTGGTAACCTTGGGAGAATTACTTTGCATCTTTGTGTCTCAGTTTTCACACCTTTAAATGGGGCAGGGGACATGGTGGATTGTGAATACAGGCTGAGGCCTTGGGACAGTGGCTGACCCTAGTAGGAGACATGGAAGTGGACATCAGCCTCCTTACACCCAGGGATGAGAAGATGCCAGCACCCTTGACCCTTGTGATGCTGTTTGATTTGATTCCCACAGGAGTGCGGGGGGATTGTAGCGGGGGGTGCTGACACTGCTCCGTCCCTTCCACC